TATCACATTTTCACATCATATTTGGATTACAGTAACCACATAAACCTCACACTGTGATTATAAAAGACCAGGGTTTACTGTGAGGTGTGATGTCTTACCCCAGGATTGTTCTGTCCGGAATTATTCATAATGATTATCATCATCATCATCAGAGAGTAGCACAGGTGTATGCAAACCGCTTATATTGAATAAGCTGTTTTCTGGGATATTATGTCCAGTAAGTTAGTCCCTGCATGTAAACAGCCAGTGATGCTGAGTCCTTAATGGACACTTGGATGTTATTGTGGTAACACTTACACTTCATCACGGCAAATAATAAAAACCAGTGGTGGTACTCGGGTCATTAGGTCCCAGGTTTCTCACCCTCTGCATTTTTCCATCCTCCATTTAGCATAATGACACTCAAACAATCAGCACTCACATTAGAATATGGAGTGGAGCATTATACAGAATAAAATGGTGTTAACATGTCCAATTTGAATATCCTGATCTGTAACTGTGGCATGCTCTTCCCAGCAGCAGCAGCAGCAGCAGGTAGCTGATTCAGGCCAAGCATGACCTACATGCTTAAAGAATTACAGCAGACAACAAAGAGGATTCTCTTGGATTCATGTTCTGATACTCTGATGTAAGCCCACACTGTGGCAACTCTGGTGAATAATAACATACTTGTGGTCGCATTTGCACAAGGTCTCCCTCGTTGCTATGATTTATAAGCATAGCTTCCAACTTTACATCTGACAACAGGCTAGGAGGCTTGAAGCTCCGGGGGCAGCACCCTGGGTCCAGTGCTATTTACTCAGCCAGCTGAGACAGGATGCTCCCCTGGCAGGATTCTGCAATCACTGTGCCCATGCATAGCTTTCTTACCTTTACTGTACCTGTCTGATCATGGCTACTTTGTGGTGGCTCCAGCATGGGAAGGTGACAGCTACACCAGGACAGCCACAGGTTGAGCTACCTCTACTCTGTCATTCCCTGCTGCTTAACAAATATATTCAGTGGAACAGGGACTTTTTATGAGTACTGTCTTGCAAAACTCTAGTCACACTTTGAAGTCAATAAATCATAGTTTTAATAAGCTGTGGTTGTCAATTTAAAAAAATCTATGTAATTATTACAGTAAATGCTTGTGAATTGTAATTAGCGTCATACTTATTAATAAAGAAGCATTATAATAACACATGTATAGTTTTTCCAACAATAAAGACTGAAGCCAGTCTGTGCTGTGCTTGATCTACTGTGAGCTGAATAAGAGTGCAGAGATGCTGAGAGGACAGGTGCTCCACTTTAAAGTGATGTGATAGATTAAGGAGGAGCCATGGCAGCAGAATAATTTCCCTAGTGACCAATTTCTGAACACTCCCTAAGCAAAAAAAAAAAAAATCAGCAACAAGCCAACATGTCCAACACAGCCTCATGCTAGGGTGTAGGTGGACATGCTGACTCACTTCTAATGAGCAGCCAGAGATAGAAATAATAACCTAAACCAGCAATCATAGGTCATGGCTGTCCTAATTAACACTTGTACCTACACACTGTAAGCAGATGTACAGGTATGTATGCTAACAACTATCAGAATAGCTTCTCTGGTGGCCCAGTGTTGATGGGGAAAAAGAAAAATAGGCCATGCTTTACCAGCCTTACGGTATTACAGTACATGCAGTGGCTGCATCTGAAATCTGCCGTAGCAGTTTTATTACATTCTGTTACAGTATTCTTGACTTAAAGGCTTTCCTTTATATAATATACCAGTACTGTATATAGGACACTGGCAATAATTAGTTTTATGCCTCTAAAAGTACTGAAGTTTTATTTGTAAGCAAAAGGTTCCACTGGGTCCAGCTGTCAACATTCATTGAACTCTGCGTACATGTAAACATGTAACAGCAAACCAGGTAGTACAGCGGTCAGCAGGTATTGTAGCTGCTCACTTTTACATTAGGGAAGTTTAATTTAATAGCTACAGTAAAGTGTTGAACAAAACCTATGTATAATATTAAGCATTCTGGCATTTACAGAGATTGATTATCTTTAAAATCTGTGCTGCACACCTTAGTATAATTTACTACTTGTTTTATGGCTGATTTATGGGGGAAAAAAGTTGTGCCTCAGCCAAGATGCTCTCCAGGTTTCATTGTTTTATTGGCTATATGCTTCTTTTTACTTTTGGCAGTAACTGGGTTTTAAGCAATGAAGTGACACCAGCATGCATCACAAAAGAGTCCGAATTTTACCCCACCCCTCTTAAGTGATAGGCTGTTACATTTTCAAAGCAGAAATATCAATTTTCTTTAATGGATCAGTCAAACTAATAAAAAAAACATAAGCTGATCATGTTAATTATATCACATTGTCATTGTGGCTTCTGGTTCAGGATCAGTTTCGCAGGCGAGACTGGCTGGAGGGATTGACAGGAAGTGATGCTCATCTTGTGTCAAGACAAAATTTATTTAACATTCTTCCTCTTGCAAATTGTGATTCTTATTTGTGTTATTACTGTTGTCAAAAGTTAAACTGGCATAATTTAGGAAGTAGATAACATGTTGAGGTTTTCACTGGTCTAAATGTCAAGATGTTGCTAATGAGCTCATGAGTTATAAATACATATGCATTTAATTTGTTTAGTTGTTTAAACATCCTTTGAGTTTTTGTAAGACATTTTTGTTTAAATCAACCATCAATTTTATTTTATTTTTTGGTTTTGTATACAGTATCTGACAATTTTGTGTCCTCAATATTAATGTACTCTGTATGTGCCATGGGCAGAGCTTGGCAAGGACTAAAAATGGCCATGCTTTTCCACGCTTCATCATCTGTGGTTTGTGTCAGACCCAGACAGTCATCTGGAAAGGTCAAAGCTTTGGTAAAAGATTTAAATCATCCCACAGAAGAAAGATTCACCTTGACAGGCGGAACCTGAAAACCAGTAAATAAGAACACAAACAGATAGTCTTTGCTTAAAGCAAGGACAAACAGGCCATTGCATTTTAGAGCCGGTGTCATACGCTGTGATGCTTTAGAGAAAAAACTATACGTATTTTGTCTTTTAAATATATTTGCTGTCTTAATATGTGGATTGTGTTTCTCCTCTGACAGACTATCAATTCACAATTAGAAATCAGACTACTGTGGTCGTTTGTATAATCACATAAGGAGACCTCTTCGCCCGCTTTCAGATCTATTAATTGTGTTTTCATTTCTAAAATGAAGTGATCTTGGCACGGCTGCTAGCAACAACATGTTTCTAAATACAGCTTGACAGGGTCAGTGTGGCTAAACAAAGTGTTGGGCTTAGTCTCAGCACTTAGAGAATCTGACAAATGGGCGTTACTCTTTGATGAATCTGTGTAGTGTTTTGTTGTTGTATATTCACCCAGTTGTGAGCTGCTGGAAATATTTTCCTTTTATTTTTATTTGTCATTTTATTATATTAATGTTGTAGACACGCCTTTTGATGAATGCAGGAACTAAAGCACGCATTCAGCTGCTTTTGAGGACAAATGGGACCTTTGAAAAAATCCTTTATCTTTACTATTTATTAATATGCTTAAAAAGATGAATGTGAAATGGTGAAGCTTACAGCGAGGCCTATGTATCATAATATATTTGCTCACAGAAGTAAAGAATAATGAAACTATTTTCAGCTATAAAGCCATGCTTGAATAATATGTCTGCTGCAAAGTGCTACAAAGCAAGGACTATTACAAGGTGGTTACTTTTTATAATCTTTTTGGAAAAGACAGCCATAAATATGTGTAGGTTTTTGCTCTTTAGCTCATGAAAATATTTATTATATTTATTCTGATTTACTGCGTGTCTGTTTTGTTTTGCACTTTAGTGGTTGCTGGGTATTATTGATTCTTTCTATTGATTCAAATATAGCAGCAATAACTCTGTGATTTTGTTTAGTTTTCTCGTCATTCTAATCAAAATCCCTGCAAAACCTCCCGCTGTGATGTTTATTACTGAGACACACCTGAATTGCTGTTAGTCTGCATTTTAAATTAAAGACATGTCAATAAACTAAAAAAGAATTTGATCACTGGAGTAGTCTCTGTCGTTGGGTAAGTTCCATAAACATCGGTGGAAGATTAAGTTTAAGTGTAAGTTTGGGCTTTAGGCGACAGACAGGATCAATTGGATCAATCGACCTCATTTGGTTATTTATGTGCTGGAGATTATTAAAGAGCAAGCTCTCCATGTACCTATGAATGCACAAGTTTAATCCGCTGTTCCCTCAGGGAGCCTATGCAAGCTGCTACTCTTATGGACACCAAGTATGGGCATTAAGTGCTAATAGGCTGGCTCTTTCATTGTCGCAATGGTACAGGATAGATTTTTGTCTTCATTTACACAATAGTGTGACTGTGATAATCCACCTGATGTGTGTGTGTGTGTGTGTGTATGAGGGCGGGGTCAGTTGCTGGATATATTTAAAGTGCCTACTTTTAGTCAAGTAAACAGAGAAGTATGTGTTTGTATACTGTGCATGGGAGCTGCAGTACGATTCACAATGCAGTTCTACATTAGCATTGCAGGAATTTGGACAGAGATTATTTTAAATTGCTTCTCCTGGGAATGAACTAGCGAAGCAATATTGGCAAACAGCAAATATACAAAGGTAAACAGTAGGTGTTCTTCAGTGGTTCTAGTTAAAGCAGTTGTATATACAGTAATAATGCTCTGTTTACTTTACATAAGTTGCTGATGTTTGAATTCCTCTGCTGTGGATCCTACTGCAGTTTGTTAATAGAAATTATGAGTGTAATGAATTTCACATTGAAAGGAGATGAAATACACAGAACTTACACAAAAGCTAACTGAATTTCAACATCTTGGTTGAGGAGAAATATTTTACCTCAGTTGTATTTTTAGTGCTTCTCAGACATTGTTTTCTTGATGTCAGATGTTGCTTCTGTTTTGTTGCTGTTGTTTCACATTTAACTTATTCTGCATGATCATGATTTGATTGTTATTTCTCTTTCCTTTTCATGCAGGCCTTCCCATGTATATCCACAGGCATCTATGGTAAGATTAATCTCTCCTGTTAATTTAATTTTTTTTATTCTTGTTTTTGCTTTTCACTGTAAATGCATTTTTTGTGATAACTTTCTGCACATGTTATCTTTGTGAACATGCTTTAGGTTGCCAATGCCTTTTCTCTGACTGAACTGCATATCCAAATTTTTTGATTCAAGGGGGGGATATGCAAATTAGGGCTGGAGAAAAAAATTGATATTAGTTGCAATTATTGTTTGAACAATTCAATTATCATTTTTTTTAATTCAGGTACTCACGTTTGCATATTTTCTCAGCTGTGCTAAATGTTACACGTGTGCAGAGATTACTTGTAGATGGTTTAATTGTAACTACACCGTAGGTAAAATGTTTTCTTGGTGATAAGTGTGTTGTTAAAACATGCTTAAAGGGTTATATGAAGTTATAAAGTAACCTAGAGTACAGGAGGTGATGGCTGGCTATATTAGTCACTTTGAGTCACGGCATTTTCTGTCCAGACTCAGGATGGTTAGCTGACTGTGGCTAACTCATAGCAGAGATTCCATCATTTTCTATATTAATAGTATTTTCAGAAATCCACATACAGAGACCAAAACAAACGATGAATTGACTCTCCTCACAGTTAACATCTGTCAGTCCTGAAAACTGGATTAGCTCATTTGCCTGTGCCATAGTTGTTCAGTGAAACCCACTGCTGCACCGGGTGACATGTTTCTGCATTACATAACACCAGATTGCACGTTTGCTAAAAATGTTACCCCAAAAGCTCCAAACAACCATAACTTTGTAAAGCGTTTGAAGCAGCCTCACTCAACTGCGCATGTGTGACATCTCTGTAAAAGAGTGATAGATGCAGAAAAACGACTGGACTGTATAGAAATCAAGAGTTGCCTCTGAGATGAAGAAATTGTTTTTTCACAGTTCTGACATGTGCCATCCATTACACTTGCACACACTATAATAATCATAGTGGGCGCCGGATATGTAGGGATTAATTACCATGTTAATTTCCATGGACTGACTAAGTTTATAGCAGTGTGGTTCAATTAAAGCAATCACAACCTTGATAAACCTATGAATCATTTCAAATGATTAAGATGCATATTGTGTGTACCACAGTGCATGTGCCTTTGTTCAAATAAAAGCCAATGAGATCCAGTAACTGTTAAACATGATCAGGGATCTGTAATTGTTTGGCCAGTCATCTTGTGAGGGTCATTGGATGTTCTGATCACTCTCTGTGATGATATAAGGAAATTAACAGTTTTACAAGACCTGGTGTCCCTATGGTGCAACCACTGTTCCTTCAAGATGATCCTATATACATATGTGTACTAGGATGATAATGCCCCAGTGCACAATGTAAACGAGGGGGCCGAATACTTTCTCAAGGCACTGTAGATGCAGAAAAACGACTAGACTGTACAGAAATCAAGAGTTGCCTCTGAGATGAAGAAATTGTTTTTTCACAGTTCTGACATGTGCCATCCATTACACTTGCACACACTATAATAATCATAGTGGGCGCCGGATATGTAGGGATTAATTACCATGTTAATTTCCATGGACTGACTAAGTTTATAGCAGTGTGGTTCAATTAAAGCAATCACAACCTTGATAAACCTATGAATCATTTCAAATGATTAAGATGCATATTGTGTGTACCACAGTGCATGTGCCTTTGTTCAAATAAAAGCCAATGAGATCCAGTAACTGTTAAACATGATCAGGGATCTGTAATTGTTTGGCCAGTCATCTTGTGAGGGTCATTGGATGTTCTGATCACTCTCTGTGATGATATAAGGAAATTAACAGTTTTACAAGACCTGGTGTCCCTATGGTGCAACCACTGTTCCTTCAAGATGATCCTATATACATATGTGTACTAGGATGATAATGCCCCAGTGCACAATGTAAAACAAATTCGAATGCGGCTTCTTAAACACCAAAGTAATCTCATAACTATTCCGTGGGGTCTCACGTGACCAAAACCTAACGTTAAACCATTATGTGGTCTCAATCATCACTGAAAGGATGATGTAATCCACCTCTAAACACAGAAAGCTATTGAGGATGGCAGCTTCTGAAGCCATAACATGCTCCTAATTTTGTTCACATGCTTGATAATTTATTTAGTTTTAGGCGTTTTATTTGTTTTGTTCACCCAGTGCATATTTGAGGGATCCATCCTGTGACTATACTACTCTATGTAAGGGTCACCTCACACATCATATTTTTAGAAATCCTACTCTTGTCTAATCATGTTAACCTGTTATTAAACATCATGGGAAAGACAAAGAGCCTCTCTGCATACATGTGAAGTACTGGCTACCTTGCATCTGTTTTTCCTTGAAGAGTTGTAATAAAATGAGGCTATTTCCATTCAAAAACCTCACTTATCCTCCTTTATCAGTCCTGTATTATGACTGACTGGCAGCTGTCACTATGCTGCACACAGAAATGTTAAACATCCCAACATACTGATTAGATTGCACTGATTATAGAGCCTGCCAGTCTGTTGCTGTTCTCATTAAACTGGCTACAAACACACACTATCAGAGTGATGTCCCTTAAACTAGATTTGTTTCTTTCCTCCTGGGTTTCTGGGCAAGGAGAATCCACTGCCTTCAACATATTACAATCCAGGGAGCTCATTTGATATGATTTTAATGGAGCTGGTAAAGTAACCTCATCGCCCTCACCGAGTTCAAAACAGACTACTGTAGCTAAATAGGATTCAACAGTGAGGATTGCAACAAACTCATTGGCATTGCTGAGCTTGTTGCACAGCTGTAGGTCTCTATACAAATCCCCAGTCAGCACAATTAAACCTCCATGCATGTGAATGTGTATGATAGCATTCTTACTGTATTTACAGCATAGCACACACGTGCTAGTGAAGCCCGTTGAGTGTAGTAAAAAGTGCCTTTGTGCTTATAAATCACTGGATGTTTATAATTATACACTATGTACTGGATAAAACACTCCCCACTTGGGATACTGAATGTTTTCTACCCATCACCTTTGTGATTCCCACAGTTTATTATACAACTCCTCATCATTTACTCTCTCTGCAGTACTGTGTTTTCTGCCACCTGGATATGCAAGTATCTCAAATGGCTATTACTGAGGTGTTAATTGTAAGAAGGGCTAAAGATGTAATTTCGCACTCATTTCCTCATTTTCTCTAAATTTGGCAGTCTTTAAATTCAGCAGTCATTTGTGTAAAATGCAGATTCTCAGTAAACCTGTTCCTGACTCATTATCAACTTATATATGCTTTAACTGTTGTAAATTCTCAGTAAATTAACTCAATTAACTAAGATGGACAAAAAAGTGTTTTCAAAATGTAAAAGTACATTTGAGTTTAACAGTGATAACACATTTTACAGGTTAGATTAAACAGACTAAATGAGGACTGTCAGGTATACAGTACATATAGTGACACTGCTTAGTGCTGTCCACTGCGGTGCCACGTGCTGGATTGCCAGTGGGAGCCTGTCATAGCGCCCAACCAGCAGCCCCTCACATCAAAGGGCTGTGCAGAGCCAGGGGAGTTAAACAGCTTGTTCAATAAATAAACAGCTTAGCGCTTCCCATAACTGTATCTCCACAGAACAATACAGTTGATTAAGACCGAAGATCTTCACACAGCAGAGGGTAAATAGAGGAGGGACTTTCAAAAGAACTACTGTATAGTATGGTGCTGTAATGTTATTCTCTATTGTGCTCTCTGAGGACTGCCATGTTCTGAAAGGGGCTCTGCTCTCTTGGCAGGTTCCTTGACATTTACTTTACATTCTAGATAACCTTTAAGGTCAGCATTTCAAGAGTGTAGCCAAAAACATTTTAGTGTGAGAGGCACATCTTCCCAATCGCTTTCTTTCTTTTTATCCATCTTTCCATGTCTTTCTGTATCTCTCCAGCTTTGTAGCGTGCACACATGTATATATAGTGATAGTTTAGGCGTACATGGCCATCCACCAAAGTGCTATACTTATGCACATGTTCTTGACCCACTTCTACACTTGAGTCGCAATAGTTAAACAAATACTGTGCCCTCAACATTGTGACAGAGGGGAATCAGGAACAAGTTATCTAAGGCCTTTGCGGTGATAAAAACAGATTTGTCAGGGAAGCTAATGCTAATTGTCACTCTCTCTTACGCCTCCATGTTCCTGGTGAGTCAGTCACCACTGACAGATGTTGGCAGAACAGGGAGGTTGGGTGTAGCAAGGGTGCGCAGGGGGTACGTTAGACGCTTGGAAAGAAAAATGAGGGTTCACGCTGTGCTGACAGTCCAATCCTTCAGTCTAGCCCATTAGCCACAACAGAATTTCTGCACGGATAGTGTGTCAGAGGTACCACCCATAAACAAACTGGTGCCCATTGTGGGCCATGAGGTCACCCAGCATGATAGAGGTTATTAAGTGCTGCTCCTGTTTGCACATCAATCATATCCATGCAACCCAGGTTTAAATGGATTATTCCATCCAAGGAGGAGACACTGCTCAATGTCTCACAAGATCAGTGCCAAGAGTCCAACTACCTAGACTTAGAGAGGTCATTTGCTCTTTTTGTATCCCCTTTTCTCTTGTCTTCCCTCCCATACATTTTCTTGTCTCTTGTAGTCCATTATGTCTCTCACGCTTCTTTCTTACAGATGGACACATGTGCGCATGCAACATACATATAACAATCCTGTTTCAACATGCACTGTAGACAATTTAGCCTTGTGGAAATCTTATATTGCGCTGAAAAGACTCTTTCCAACAGCTTTGTAATGAGCCATACAGTTTAGGAAGCATCTGTTCAGATCAATCTTAGCATAGAGCTGGAGGCTCACTAGCAGCATGCAAAAGCAAGGGCATGAACATTAAGTCAGCTGTTTACCTGACAGATGTCTTCACACACATGCGTTTAAAACCCTATTAAACCAATCAGAGGCCCTTAACTCAACAGTGCAGCTGCTTCTCTCAGGATAAATGCACTAGGTACACTTAGTTGAA